CCGCGCGCCGGGGGGCCGCCAGCCGGCCGACCTCCGGGATCCACGGTGCCCAGACAGGGCTGCGTGTGGTGGCATTTAGAAACCGGAGCTGTTGACATCAAGAGAAGTGGCATTTCAAGGTCTGGTGTGGAGAGAAGCCACCTTCTGCCGTGCCTGGCCCGCAGCTGGAGCGCGCGTTTCGCCTGGGAGCGTGCCGGGGCGAAGGGGAGGGGGTCATGGGGGGGATGTGGTGTGCCACGGGGACCCGTCTGGGGTGGAAGGTGGGTGCCGTGCCGTGGCAGCGCGGGGAAGCCTCGTCCTCTCCTCCAGACAGAGGTGATTTGTCCCAAGCGCTGGTCGCTCACCGCCTCCTGCGTCCCGAGCCCTGCCCTTCGGTCCCTTGTGATTCACCGGCGCTTTTGGGGCCAAAGGTGACATTTAGAGGGGATGTTTCTGGGTGACAGGAATTCACGTAAAACAATCACAGTGGCCGCGTCGCCGTGGTTTGCGCCAGCTGGCTCCGTCACGGCTCCCTGCGGTCGCTCACGTTTGCCTTCTCTTCCTCCGCAGAATGCGATGAACTTGCCGCCCGACAAAGCCCGGCTGCTGCGGCAGTACGACAACGAGAAGAAGTGGGAGCTCATCTGCGACCAGGTAAGGGAGGCCCGGCGGGCGGTGGGCAGGCGTCCCGTGGAGAGCAGCAGCCGCCTTGCAGCAGCAGCGTCCCTGCGCTTAGAGAGGGACCTTTCAAGTACTGGAATGTTTTCAGACGCTCGCTGCTTTGGCCTGATGCTCCGTTTTTGGTGACGACTCCCAGCAGCCTTGCAATATTAATTCACTTTTTTGCCACAGAGCGGTGTTTCTTTCCCCTCTGACGTTCCCATCGCCCCTGAGCCCGTTTTCCCCGGGCGGTGGATGCTGCTTGCTTTGCCTGGCACAGACCTGAAGAGCCTGCCCTGCCGTCCCCTCTCGGCGAGCGCGCTGAGTTCGCTCTGCCTTGTCCCGGGTGACAGGAGCGAGTGGTCTCCATCCAGCGAGGAGGTGGCTCTCCACAGCCCACGCTGTTGTCGGGGTTGGTGGTGGCTGTCTCCTCTGGGGAGGTGCCATGGTGGTCCTGCCTGGGCTCCTCCTCGCCTCCTGAGCAGCCGCCTCGGACCGCGCAGCGCCGTGTGCCGAGCATCTTCTGTGGGCGAGCTCTGCTGGGGCGTGCAGACTTGGCAGCCGTGTAGGACAACGAACAGGTTGGCTCTGCCACCACAAACGAGCAGCAACGGCGTTATTTAGAGAAAGTGAACCTGGGTTGGTGGGAGATGTCCCTGCTGATGGCAGGGGGTTGGAACCAGATGATCTTTAAGGTCCCTTCCAACCCAAACCATGCTGTGATTCTATGAAAGTGAAGGATGCAAAAGGTTGGGTGTGCATTTGTGAGCCAACAGCAAAATCGGGTTCTGCTGTAAACTTCAGAAGTAATCACTAATGAAAATAATTGAGCCAGGACAGAGGAACTAGGAGATTTCCCTGATGTGTGAAAGTAGCGGTACCAGGATGGGAGCTTGGCAGAAGGCACAGCCCTGCTGTGAGGTCAGGAACATTTTAACAACTGAATTTGTGGGACACTGCCTATTTATCTGTTACGGTGGTGGAGCCTGTGACAAAACCCAGCTACCTTAAAGCCCAACTGAAGGAAGAATGACTTGCTTTTTTCCATGAGTTTCCTATGTGGAGAATGTAAGAACGTTGAGCTGTGTGTGGAGTCACTCCGGAGCTCGGAGCAGGTGGAAACGCAGCACGGGAAATTCGCCGTCCGGAGCGATCGCGTCGCTTCGTCGCTCCTTGCACAACGCCGGGCTGGGATGAGCCTGCTTCCCGTCGCTCGGAGAGCGGGACTGCTGGCCGGCACGGCGGGGATCCCGAGGGGGACGGGGGGCTGCCCAGGGAGGCTGGGGAGTCTCCTTCTCTGGAGATATTCCAGCCCCGCC